CAGACCTGCCTGGGCCTCGCGAGGACGATGGTGTCCTTGCTCCTCACTGCCTCCTCCCTGGAGCGCCCCCCCACACACACCTGCCATCAGACTAGACCGCCCCCCACCTCTTCCTGAACTCATCTCCGACCCGCTCACTCCCTCCTTCCTGGAGATGCGGGCACCGGCCTCACGCCTCCCACAAGCCTTCCTTGCGGTGGTGGTGGTAGTGCAACCGCAGGCGCCCCATCTAACGCGCGGGCTCTCCTGCCTCTGTTTCCCCTCCAGCACCCGGTTTTCCCAGTCTCCTCCGACACCCACACCCAGAGCTACCCGGGACCTCGTGTCCTTGCCGGTAAGGACGCTCCCAGGGCCCCGCCTCCAGCAGCCCGTGGCCGGCACTGGAGCCGTGCTGTCTTCACCCCAACCGGACCCTGTGGGTTTATCTTTGCTTCCTCACTCCCTTCCCCGCCTAAATGCCTCCAGCCATTACTACAAGCCATCTCTTCACGGGCACCTTGTGTTCGTAACCCTCTCCTGTGGCACACTCTTCTAGAAGAATCCTGGGTGAATCCGGTTTTCAGCTTACTCTGTCCCCGCCCCCTGCAGCGGATCATCGCAACATCTAAAGGAAACTCGGAGGCGGTGGCGGGTCTCGTTTGAAGTTCACAGCCGGACTCCTCCAAGGGACGTCCGTCGCCCCCCAGCCGCACCTTGCCTCGGCAGGTCCCCGCCCCTCCCCCTCCTCGCTGGGCCTCTCACTTCGCCCACTTCTCAGTCTCGGCGGCTGACCTGCCTCTCTGCACAGCCGGGAAGCGCGGCCACCCCCGCGTGCAGCAGCCCCCTCCCCGGCCCACCCAGCCCCGCGCCGCGCCCACCCCGGCGCCCAGCCCCGCACCCACACCCGCGCCTGCGCCCACAGGCCCTCCTCTCCGCTCAGCCCTTCCCCTCGCGCCCTGCGCTCCCTGCGCCGGCCCCCTCCGGGCTGCACTCCATCCTGGCACCTCTCCAGTCCCCGCCCTCCCGCTACTGGTTGAGCCCCAGCAGCGCTCCAACGTCCCCTGTGTCTCATCAACTCGGTTCCCTCCTGCGGCCACGGCCCGGTTTTCTCAGTGCAGCAAAGCTCAGGTGCCGAACCTGCTTTCTCCAGTTCCTTCCTGTTCTGTTAGTCCCCACCCCCCCCCCCCCCCCCCCCCCCCCCCCCCCCCCCCCCCCCCCCCCCCCCCGCGGGTTTCCGTCTAACTAGAGCTCCAGCTCTTAAGCGCTCGGCCTTCATCTCATTCAGCCTCTCAGGAGACGCAGTTGGTCACCTTCACCAATGGGTCCTGAGACCCGTTTTGCACGTGGCTTCCGGACACTACACTCTGCACTACGTCCCGCCTCACATGCTGCCGGCCTTCTGCGTGGGCCTCCCTGCTCCAGTGTCTAAGGGCTCAGTCCTGGGGACTCCTGTCTTTACTCTCCCCTAAGCCATACCATCTGCTCCCGTGATCTTACATACACCCTGCAGGCTGTGTAGAGCGGACTTCCCCCTTCATACTCCAGACGTGCCCGCCCAGCAACCCCCTTGAAATGTACACTTGGATGTCTAAAGGGTCTGAGCAAACTTGGCCCCGATCATGAAAAGTAAACCCACAAATGCAAGTGTTGGCAAAGACACAGAGCAGTGGAAACTTTACTCTGAGCGGTGGACGGGTGCAAATGGCTCGGCAATCTCTACTGGAGTCGAACACGTGTACGCCCTGGGGCGCCATGATTTCACTCCTAGGTGTTCACCAGACATGGGTACGCGTGCACAAGACACGTACGAGAATGTTATGAGTTATGGGTGGCATCATCCGGAGCTGCCTTGCACTGGAGGCCGTCGGGACGACACACCTGTAGAATGGAGAAACGGCTTCGTTCACAGCTCCTTGCAGCAGCACCGAGGACACACATACACACACACACGATCGGAGTTCAAAAAGCGTCACGAAGGCCTACCTTTCTGAGACTTTGTAGGAGCAAAGAGCAAAAACAGGTGAAACTCCTCTGTGCTATCAGAGCGCAGGACAGTGGTCACCTTTGGGGAAGGAGGTTGTGACTGGAGGGGAGATGGGCGGGGCTGCTGGGATGCTGGCTGTACAGGTGCGCTCCTTGTACACTTGTATTTTGTTGCTGTTTTTACCACGTCTACCACGCTCCGAAACTGAATTCTGATTCGGCCCCCCTTCTGTGAACCCACACCCTCTTTGGTGACCTCTGGCTCAGTGCACAACCACTTCTTTCTTCAGGTTACGCAGGCCTCAGCCCTGAGAGCCATTCTGGTTTCTTTCCCTCATGCTTTCACGTCCACACCATCAGCACGCCGGTCTGTCATGTCACCGAAATACAGCCTCAACCCAACTGCTTCCTACCACTCACGGTGGCCATTTTGTCAAGTCACCACCAGCTCTGACCTGGACTTCTTGGAGCAGCGTCCCGCTTGACTCCGGCTAGTACTTTCGACCTTACAATCTCTTCCCTACTTCGCAGCAAGTTACTTTTTTTTTTTTTTTTAATGTTTTTTTTGAGAGAGAGAGAGGGCATGAGCAGGGGAGGGGCAGAGAGAGAGGGAGACACAGAATCTGAAGCAGTTCCAGGCTCTGGGCTCGCAGCACAGAGTCTGACATGGGGCTGGAACCCATGAACCACGAGATAGATCATGCCCTGAGCAGAAGTCAGATGCTTAACTGACCTAACCACCCGGGTGCCCCGGTGACCCTTTTAAAACATAATCAAAATCACATCCCTTGGCTCCAGTGACTCACCATCTCATTCTGAATAAAATGCCAAATTGTCCCCAAGGCCAAGCAGGCCCGTGTGAATGTTTTCCAGCCATCTGACCTCTCCTACCACTCACCGTGCTCCAGCTGGTGTTCTTAGAACTGCCAGATGCTTCTGTCTCAGGACCTTTGTGGCCACACCCTCTACCCGGAAGGTTCTCCTCGCAGGTATCTTACATGGTTCATTCCTTCCCTCCACTAGCCTTTGTCCGGACCAGACCCTCTCCTTAGGGAGGCGGTCTGGCCATCTGATGAGCGGCGGCCAGGCAGCCCGGGTGGGGTGGGTCACAAGCCATCCATGCCAGTTTAGTGTTCCGTAGAACACCGTTGCTCGGCCATTTAAACCTTGATGTAGAATAAGATGTGAGTTCTGGGAAAGCACATTTGGTTTTGTCCACATCAGCAGGCAACTACGCTAAGGCCACGCAACTCCTGGGCGCTGGCTGTGGATGAATTATTTTTAACCAAGACCCAGATGTTTAAGGCCCGACTGGGTTACGTGGTGTGTCCTCCTTTCTCGCTTCCCTCACCGAGTTACTGGACACAAATTGAGCCGGGTGGCCCTTTATAATCTGGTGGCATATGAGGAACTTGCGCGTCTAGGACCTGGGAAAGCGTTTGGTCTCTATGGGGACTGGAGACTGTCTTGGACACTGAGACACCCTTAGAAACTACATATGAAGGTCATAGGATTTTTTGTAAATAATAGAGAATTCCTTGCCTCAAAGTAATGTTTTATTTTTTTCTGAGCTCTTTTTACTTCTGGGCGGCTTGTTAATGGGCATCGTTACACTTCTGACGTAAACTCCAACCCCTCTATTCTTCTGGGCTGATCATAATTTCGAGAAAAAAACTAACTTAAAAAAATTTTTTTTAAAGCTGCAACGTCTGACTTCCGATTCTTCCCTAGATTTTAGTTGCACCCCACTGTCTGGTACGACGTACTGGGATACAACATGTTATGTGAATCTGTAGCTGTATCACGGCCTCTGTGGCATATAAATGACAAAATTAAGAAAAAAGGACATACTACTTAAAGTAACTTTCTTGGCTCCTCAAATAGCGGTAAGGAGGGAAAAAAGAGTCTGTGGCTAGGGGACATGTCAGGCGACGGCACCTTCAGGCACCACAGTGGGTGACCAGAGCGGGAGCAGCGGTTGGGAATCTGCCCACCTGGGGCACCTGGAGTGCGCCGTGGGGCAACTAGGAGACACGGTATTCTGAGCTGCTCAAGATTCAGAAACCAAGGTCACATGAACTTCCGGAGCCTGCCTGCTCGCCCCGGGCCTGGCCTGGCTTCGCTGGGAGTGGTCCGCGCGCCTGACGTCTGGAGAGGGGGGCCAGCGCGCAGGGAAGGGCGAAGGCGGAGGGAAGGCAGGCAGTGAGCGCGTACTCTCGGGGCTCCGGCTCGGATCTGCCCGCATCTCTGCAGGGATCAAATCAGTGGAACAGAGTGGCATCTCTCAGGGATGATGACACATTTCCACGTAAGTTCTGTTCATGTAGGAATCGGTGGCGCAAGGACGGGAGCCCTGCCGCCAGCCGGACGCGGGGAGTCCATGCGGGGGTCCCCTCTGGGATGAGGACCCTTCCCACAGATGCAGAGGCATCCCTTCCTCATGGGAGCGGCTGTCACTCCAGCCAGAGCTTACCCTGTGACCAGGGTCCTGTCCTCCCGGCCAGCATCGCCTCTCCACCACGGGATGACGCAAGTCCTCTGTGACAGAAGCCTCGGGGAAATTGAGAAGCACCCAGGTGAGGTTCCTTTATAGATGTTTCAAGTTACCACAGGAAAAGGTCCTGGGATTTAAGGCTACGTTATTTCCTGGTTCTACTGTGTTTCACCGCCTGGCGTCTTCAGTTCAGGAGGGGCCAGAATCCCCGTGTACGTCACTGGCATTTATATAAATAACCTAAAAAGACTGCACTGACTTTTCCCCCCTTGTGAAAATCTGTAGCGCCCATCCCAAACCTCACCTGCAGAAGAGTCTAGCAGTCCTTCTCTGTGCTACCCTGTCAGTGCTCTCCATGCTCAAGGCCAGGCTGGGAAGCTGTCAGGTGCCCCTTAAAAGAGATACTTGATAATCAGACTCAAAGGGCCCCTTTCACCGCTCACCCACACTGACTTCCGGCTCGCACGTCGTCCTGCCTGCCAGGGGCGTCACGTGCATGGTCACCTGCTTCTGGAGTCTGGGGTCCAAGGAAAAGCAAGTAAAATGACTTTTATGCAGCTGTTTAATTTCCACACTCTGGTGAGGAAATAAATTGAAAAAATAAATCCCAGAGCCTGTGAGAACCCAGCTTACAAAACGTTATGGAAATTATATTCTGTGTATAGCAGCTCATCTGTGAGGCCCGTAGGAGGAGCCACAGGAAGACTCCGCAGCTAAAGGAGGGGTAATGACACCCACCCCCTTGTTCTTTCCGGCGGGCACGTTAGTAGTGTGCCAGGTCCCTAACCCCCGGCCACGACATTATAGCCTCTGAGCCACAGGGCCATGGCAGTAGAATTTTATAAAGTTTCTGAAGTGACTCCACGATGCAATGACGTCTAAATAACACTGGTTTCGGGTACAGAAGACGATCTTCGTAAGTTGTGATGAACTCCTGGAACGTTAAAACCAGAAGAGTGAGTAACAGGAAGTTTAATGTTTGCACTGACATAAGCTGGTATTACTGATGAATTATTAGTTTAAGAATGCTTTACAATTATTTTTATTACGAACTGTTAATCAACTTAAATGCATTAGAACAAGAACGTAATAGGTCCCCAGCCGAGTCACTGAAGCACAAACGCTTTCTATTGGCAAAACATGCATAAGTACACACACTCTAGATGCAACACAGCCAAATGCTGGCGTGCAGCAGCCCTGTTCAAGAGCACGCTGTGAACACAGAAAAGTGGAATATAAAATTCCAAACCTTCGAAACCGTCCACTCCAAATCCCCCATTCATAGAGCAAAGTGAAGCTTAAAACAGTCGAATTTTCCATGGTCACAGAGTTGCTTGAAAACAATTGGATTACTTCAGCCCAGTGTATGGGCTGTTCCATAGTGTGACCATGAAAAGTTAAAATCTTTTAGGCGGTTTTTCACTCGGAGTCTTCAGCACTTAATGAAAGAAAGACCAGAGTACATGTCTGCTACGTCCGTGATGTTCGCACCAAGGGTCAGATGCCAGGGTGCAGCCTCTGGTGTTTGTTGAGAGCAGAGCGGTACCTGAAGGCTTTCCCGCAGTCGCTACACCCAAAGGGCTTCTCTCCCGAGTGGACCCTCTGATGCTGGGTGAGGTACGTGCTCTGGCTAAAGGTCTTCCTGCACTCGTTACAGTTGTAGGGTTTCTCCCCCGAATGTGTGTTCTGGTGTTCTGTCAGGTGCGTGCTGCGGCTGAAGGCTTTGTCGCACTCGTTGCACTTATAGGGCTTCTCTCCCGTGTGAATGCGCTGGTGCTGAGTCAGGTGAGAGCTCTGGCTGAAAGCCTTTTCACATTTATTACACTGGTAGGGTTTTTCTTCTGTGTGAGTCTTTTGATGCTGCGCGAGAGAGGAACAGTGCCGGAAGGCTTTGCCACACTCCGTGCACTCGTAAGGCTTCGCTCCCGTGTGAATCCGCTTGTGTTGCGTGAGGTGTATGTTCTGGTTGAAGGCTCTCCCGCACTCGTTGCACTTGTAAGGTCTTTCTCCGGTGTGTATCTTCCTGTGCTGAATCAGGGAGGAGCCGTAACTGAAGGTTTTCCCACATTCGTGACACTGATAGGGCTTCTCACCGGTGTGAATTCTCTCGTGTTTAGCAAGAGACGAACTCCGGATAAAAGCTTTCCCACATTCCTTACATTCGTAAGCTTTCTCCTGGCTGTGCGTCTTCTGATGTTGGTTCAGGTTGGAGAGATAACTGAAAGCCTTTCCACACTCATTGCATTCAAAGGGCTTTTCCCTGGTGTGAATTCTCCGATGCTGGGTCAGGGACGAGCAGTAACTGAAGGCCTTCCCACATTCATTGCATTTGTACGGTTTCTCTCCGGTATGAATTTTCAGATGTTGAGCAAGAGAGGACCAGTAACTGAAGGACTTTCCGCACTCGGCGCAGTCATACGGCTTCTCCCCGGTGTGCGTTTTCTGATGCTGAGTGAGGTTCGAGTGCTGACTGAAGGCTTTCCCACATTCGTTGCATTCATAGGGTTTTTCACCAGTATGAATCATATGGTGGCGAATAAATGTCGAGGGCCCATTGAAGGCCTTCCCGCATTCATTACATTTATAGGTCTTCTCTCCAGTGTGGATTTTTTGATGCTGAGTCAGGTGTGTGCTCCTGGTGAAGGTTTTGTCGCATTCGTCACATTTAAAAGGTTTTTCTCCCGTGTGGATTTTCTGATGTTCCATAAAGTGGCCTCTCTGACTAAAAGCTTTTCCACACTCATTGCAGGTGTACGGCTTCTCCCCAGTGTGAATTCTCTGGTGCTGCACAAGATGGGTCCTCTGACTGAAGGCTTTCCCGCACTCGTCGCACTTGTAGGGTTTCTCTCCAGTGTGGATTCTCTGGTGTTGAGTAAGAGATGGACCCTCAATGAAGCCTTTCCCACACTGATCACATTTGTAGGGTTTGTCTCCAGTGTGAATTCTTTGATGGTTGATCAGGTTTTCACTCCGGCTGAAGGCTTTTTCACATTCGTTGCATTTGTAAGGCTTCTCCCCGGTGTGCGTCCTCTGATGGCGGATGAGAGCTGAACAATAGCTGAACGCTTTCCCACATTCGTTGCACTTACAAGACTTCTCTTTTCTGACCGGGTTTATATTCTGTTTGGCACTCGGCTTAGTGGTGGCCTCTGCTGCAGATGTTTGTGTCCCCAGGTTTGAGCTCACGCTGTTGCTTCTGTCAGAGTCCTTACCTACAGGGCTTCTCTCCCAAGTGGGTACTGTCTTTTCAGTTATTTTTATTTCTCTTGGCGGTGCCTGCTGCTGTGCCTGACGCTTCCCCAGACCGCCTTCGTACCCCCAGAGTTCTGACAAGTCAGAACAGCAAGGGTCCTCCCTTCTGTGGTTTTCCTCCGCTGCCCCCTGACACGGCTGCTCTTCAGAAATGTCTGGCTCGGGGACCGCGCAGCTATTTTCCGGTCTGGTGTCCCGATCTGAAAGAAAAAGAAAATGCCTATATTCTGTAAACAGAAGGGGGCAAGATAACTGCTGTGGTGGGAATGACCTAATGAAGCTAAAAATAAGGCCCTTGGGAAGTCCTGAGGATTTTCAAGTGCAGTCCTATTATTTGAGGAGAACGTTGGAAAGAGCTAAGGGTAATGATAAAATATGAAAGTGGCGAGAGAATGTCAAATTCAATGTCACAAATCATCTCTAAGAGCCGGTAAGGAAACTCCATTTGAAGTCACAGTACATTAAGAACAGAACAGACCACAGAGCTGGCCAAGAGGAGACATGGATGGGCTAGCGGGGGCGGTCTGAACTGGGATTCCTTGCCAGTGAACAGCAAACCAAAAATCTACAAACCAAGAGTCCCAGTAAGGACAGACAGGGAAGACCTGGTAAGAGCACGGTTTTTAGCCTGGAACATGATCTGCTCCACCTCTGCTAGAAACAGGAAGTTTTAAACAGGAAACATTTCAAGGGAGGCAGATAAGTTCAATTCAAGGCATTTTGAGAATGAGCATGAGCAGTGAGGGACTAGACTGTAGTGGTGTTTGTGGGGGTGGAAGATGTCAAATTTGAATAACCCAGAAGCTCAAGTAACGGACAGGAAAGCTCGGCTCCGGGGAAAGCGAGAGCACAGAGAGCAACACGAATGTTTCGGGGGAAGGGCCAAAGGGACCATAAGGAAAGCGGAATGTGTAAGAATACACGGCGCAGTTTATCAGCAAAAGGACGACAGAAGCAGCGACAGGCGCACAAGCAGGAAGCAGGGTGCTGCCCAAGACACAGGCAGGGTCGTCAGTGCTGGTAGATTCAGGGAAGACAAAAAGCTGTGTTTAAAACCTATTTCTCTGGTTCCTTTGAGAACAGGCGGCCGCGGCAGGTCCCCCAAGAACCCCGCGCTGCCGGCCTCGTCACGGTCATCATCACCGTCCCTGCCAGCACACGCTGTGAGGCCGAGCCCCAGAGCGGCTCCCATCCCCAGCGCCCTGGGGAACGGCGCAGCAGACTCCTGACACGGTGTGTCCCCGGCAGGGACAAGGAGGTCCCTGTGACCCAGCTTTGGGGAATGGCCAAGGTTCCACATACGAAATGGCTATGTTTTCCTTAACAGAACGGTACCTAGAAAGATCTATGGACAACAGATGCCCACAAGGAAGAATTTCCCTGTGAGGCAGACAGAGACCACGGCGTCTGATGCTGTTCAAAGGGGAGAGGGTACGGGATGGCTCATGTCCAGCCCTAGAGTTCCAGAAGACCACGACCGATGTTCCCCCACATTGTCACATCTGTGTAGTAACCAACAGAATTACCACAATATCAGCGGTGGAGCAAGCATGGAAGATTGAAGAAAGTTCCAGAAGGCCAGACTGAACAGCACCATTCCTACTGCAGAAAGGCACCGTGGAGAAGCACTCACAGGCACAGCCAGGCAGGCTGCCCCAGACAAGGAGACCAGAGAGCGACCAGATCGCAGCTGTGGAACAAGATTCTTTTTTTTTTTTTTCATTCTTAAAGAGACTTTTTTATTATAGAATTTCTCTTTCACTCGTGACATGCAATGAGCTAACAGAAATTCATTAATGAAACAAAGTGAGGAAAAAAAAACATGTACGCTTATTAATTAATAACAGAAATCACACCTTGCCCAAGAAGGGATGCTGACCATGTTCTCCCAAAGCAGAGGGGAGACTTGTGCGAGGGCTATGATGCCATCAATTTGGTCCCCTTCTTGGATTTAACTCTTCCAGATGTTGGGATGGAGCAGGAGGAAGGCAGGGAACGCACACCCAGTGTGGAACAAGATTCTGCAGAGGACAGGTCACCAAGACAGCCCAGAGAAGACGGCAGACAGAGGGTAAGGAAAGCAGTACAATGTCCTGGCCCGGGCGCCACATCAGTGTAGGTACCGTTACCACTTCCAGTCACCTGTGTAGTTCTGTGAAGTAAACTGTTTTCACAGAGAGAAAAACGGTCAGGTCCGCAGCTAAGAGGAGGTCTGCGCTGAGGAGGGCGGGGCTGACGGCCAGCACACCAGACTGCCACATTCCAGGAACAAGAGTAAACCAAAGCATGGAGCCAAGTATTTCGAGTGACTGTCCTCTGCCTATGGACCAGGTCCCTGGAACCATCCACATGAGCTATGCAACATCACGTGTCTAGTACTATTTTTACCTAAATAAATCTTCCTGGTAATGACTAAAGCAATTGGTGAAAAGTCTAGGATTATTCAGTATGTATTTAAATATTTTAAAGTTGCTTTTTATCTGCTCAAGTTGGGATTTTTCAAAACTTCATTTTTAATTTGTAGTAAAACTTGAAAATTTGTTTTTTCCAAAAGTTAAAGTGTAAGCATGACTTAATAAAAGTTCTTTAGTTTTTAAACCACTTTTCTAAACTGTGTTCCATGAAACCATCTTTTTTAAAAATTTATTTTGAGAGAGAATGCATGCAGGTGAGGGGCTGAGAGAATCCCAAGCAGGCTTCAAAATGTCAGCAGAGAGCCTTAAGTGGGGATCAAACTCACAAAGCATGAGATCATTCCAAAAGTCAGCCATTCAATGGACTGAGCCACGTGAGAGAAAGATTTGATCGGTGCAGTATGGAAACAGTTCATGGTTGGGAGAGTGAGGGTGTGAGGAAGAATGGTGTAAAGTCCTAATGCCCAACTAAATATTTATAAAATCACAGGAAACCTGCTAAAATTTTAGATGCTCCAACACCTGCCGAATCTGAGTACTTTTTGTCTCCCCTTAAAAAAACTCCTACCCCCACCTCACTGACTCTGGAGATCTGTCCCTTACCTAGTGTGACTAAGTCTGTATGTTTCCAGGGTCAGCTCATTGAGGAGGTCTCTCTGTGCAGCTGGGAATTCACGGTTTACAAGAAAGTTATTCCCAATTTCAAGGACAGTCTGAATCGTAGGATTGGAGGCTGCGGATACATACTCACTTGTGCAGAGCTTGGCCGGGAAGGCAATGAGGCAGGCTGGAGGGGGGCCGAGAGGATGAACAGTGTTGAGTAAAGTATTCAGAAATTTAGGTACTATTTCTGTTTGAAGGTCCTAGTGATAGAGCCTGTAGATCCAAAAGGAAAAAAACAACCCTGTAGGGCTGAAAAGTAAGGTGATAATTAAGAGACCAGAGTCCCAAAGGAGGCGGGAAAAGATGGAATCCAGAGTCCAAGTCAAGAGGTTGCCTTCAGAACAAGGCAGGAGGGATGCCTCCTGGGAGAGGAACAGATGTTGAAGGTCCAGTGTTCTCACAAAGCCCAAGAGCCCAGATGGAATCTCGTTTCACCACTGTTCTATCTAGACTTGGGCCATGAGGCCCTCCTACCAGGCTAATGGCTACAAGTGATGATGCTCTTCCACCATGTGCCCGCTACTTACCCCCACTGGCAGCTCCTGGCACGCCGGACTCCACCACCCATGGCTCCGTCCCTTGCTCTAACTGGGAAATCACATCAGGTTTGGAGACTTGGAGTCCTGCTCACGAGGGGAAAGAAAGGCGCAGTGAGAGCTCCGTGGGACAAATCCAATGGCTCAGAATAGCACATAAAGCCTCAGCGGTACAAAACCAAATGTGGTTTAACTTGAAAACGGATGTGGGTTCAGAAAAATTACTAGTTCGTACTTCTACTTGTTAGGAGAGTAAAAACCTTTTCAAAATCTTTCAAAATTTAGGAATCTTTGGTTCCTTAACTTCATTAGAGGCAAAAACCCACCAAAGCATGAGAGCCCCCTCCTACACACCCACAGACACTAACTCAGAGAAACCCTTACCTATAGAGACGAGGTGTGTGTAATTCTCCAGCGTCACATCCCTGAACAAATCTCTCTGTACAGGGTCCAGCTGTTTCCATTCCTCCTGGGTAAAATCCACTGTCACATCCTTGAAGGTCACGGATTCCTGAAACACCAAACATATTTCTCCTCAGCCGTAATGCATTTACCTAGGAAAGTGGTGGAGTTGACAGTATTGACTTAAGGAAGGCGATATAGGTATGGGCTCTCTGCAAAAGGCCTGTGATATTTCTTTGTGAAATGAATATAGAAACAGTACCTCATTCATAGGCTTACTGAGATCTAAATAGGAAATGCTGACCATGACATGCTTAGTTTAGGGTCTGGCATACGATTAGTGGTAAGTCAGTGTTGGCCATTGTTGTACTGAATCGTCATCATCATCATCTCCATGTTCTAAGATCTATCAAATGTTAATAATACACTCACTAACATAAATGTTTTGCTACTTACAGTGTTCAAGAATAGCCAAAAACGTTTCTGAAAGAATTTGGGGAGGAGACTTCCCTACCACATTTCAAAGTATACCACAAGGTACACTAAAACATACCAAAAGATTAAGATAAATTAAAAGAGTGGCTGAGTAAGGAATAAAACTCAATGTAGCAAAGTAGTCCAAACACGGACCCAGGGTCGTAAGAACTGAATATATGGATTAAGCAACCATCAAATTAGTTTGAAAAAGCTGAATTAGTCACTAAAGGGTGTCATAACAAATGACTGTCTAGAGAAAAAAATTAAAGTGAGTTTCTTCGTGGCACACAAATATTTCTCTTGGGAGTCAAAATTCAATTTTAAAGAAAAAGCAAAAATAAAATAGAATGAGAGTTTATAACCTTGAAATGTAGAAAGGAAAAATCCTAAGACAGACTGACACATATCACACCTAAATATGTAAGACTTCTCAAACCGTAAAAAAAAGGGCAATATTCTGAGGTCGCACAAATGGCAAAAAAAGATGAACCCACAGCAACAAAAATAGCCAACAACCCAAACAAGCATTCACCCAAGATGGCCGGGAAACGACGGCCCAGGCCACGAAAAACAGTGGTAGGAGGAGCACTCAGCCCGGCTCACGTGCAGCGCGGCAGGGACCCTGCGAGCTAGCTCCGGGGCCAGGTGACTAGGTCCGTCACAACTTTAAATGCACGTATCAGTGAATCCAGTGTTACTGCTTGTAGGAATTTATTGTCCAGAAACACCTCAGATGCAAAGTCATATGCCCAAGTCCCCTCGCAACACCGTGGAGGGAAAAAAGCAAACTTCAGTGCCCGTGAATAGGGCAGTGATTACAGAATTTATGGCGTATCCACACCAACACACTTCATGCGGATATTTTGAAACGAAGTAGCTCTATATGTGCTAATAAGGAAATTATGTGTGACACGAAGGTCAGTATATATATGGCCTGATCCTGGTTTTATTTTTATGAATAGGAAGGTGATATGAAAATGACCAAGGAAAACCTGAAAGAAGGCACGAGCGAATAAATCAGTGGGACTGTGTGATAGGACTTGGAGGCAGTGTGGGGACTTCCTCCTCTTTCTTTCTTCTGTAGTTCAAACCGGGTGAGTTACTTTTGCTTTAAAGTTGATCAGTCAACTGAGATTTCTACTTCTAACCACAGCAGAGCAACTGGCCGGCCTCTCCCTGTGCAGGCAGCCACACGCCCCAAACTGTGTCTGAAACAAACGCACTTGCACTTGAACGGCAGGCAGGCAGCCAGGACGGAGAGAGGGGAGACGGTAACACGAGCCCCACAACCCCCTCGCTTCCTGCCTGGAGCGGGAGGCAGAGCCCTTAGCCCACAGGGGTCTCCTTGAGACCAAGCTGGCGGCCCTGGACGGCACGAGGAGGAACTTCGAAGCGGTGGCGTAAGCACAATCTTCACGGGCAGCTACTGCGGTGACAGAGCCAGAGTGGAGAGGAGACATGCACGCTCCGCTCCCACACAGTTCCAGCACATTCCAGGAGCTAGGCAAGTCGTCCTGCCAGGACAGAGTAACAGCAGCAGGTCTGGACTGTTCGATCCTTGCTAAGCTACAGGGACCCTTGAATTTGCTCTCGAATACTTGGAAGTCACCGACGGGCGGTGTTACTGTGTGCCTGCGCGCCGTTCCAGACCTGTCCGCACCTGAAGACACACACCCACAGCGCCTGCCTTGGGGTCTGCGCCACAGCTGCTCAGCAGCAGCTCAGGACTCCAGCAGGCTCCCCGGGTCCCCAGCAGAGACGCGTCTTACCTGTCTGTGCACCAGAGCAGCAAAGGGAGTGCCTCTGCGTGACCATCACATGGGGGACCTGGAAGCCTGTAGCTGATGTCTCTGGATTCTACTTGTGATCCGTATCCTTTGTTGTAATAATCTTTAGCCCTACGTCTTGCTGCCGAGTTGGGTGAGTCATTCAGGCAAATCACTGAGTTAAAGGGTGGTCATGGGCCCCCCGAAAAATGGTCCCAGAGTAAGGCTACACTAGATCAGCCTTAAGAAAGCCTATGGTTCAAAAACAAACCGCAAGGGGAGCCTGGGTGGCTCCCTTGGTTAGGTTTAAGCATCTGACTCTGGCTCAGGTCATGATATCCCGGTTCGTGGGTTGAAGCCCCACATCGGGCTCTGTGCTGACAGCTTAGAGCCCGGAGCCTGCTTAGGATTCTGTGTCTCCCTCTCTCTCTATCTGCCCCTCCCCTGCTCATGCTTGGTTTCAGAGATAAACAAACAAAAAAACTTAAGATCAAGCTGTGGTCCAGATGAGATTAACAACTGGACTTACATTCCTGCATGAAATAACCAAAACATTCCAGACAAAACATGTGAAGCAACAGTTTCCAAGACAGTGAATCTCCTACAACAAAGGACAGACATCCCTCAGAATCAGAGAGCTGTGAGGTGAGCCATCCAGCTGCTCCCGCTTCCGGCCTTCAGAGTCCATGGGACAGAACTGACCGTGAACAACAGAGAAGCCAGGAGACCCGGAGAGGCTCCCGCACTAGCTTCCAGCAAGTACTCGTCCGTGCGTGAAAGAAACCACCAGAGGCAGGGAGAGAATCACCCGGTACCGGTGTTCAAAATGGGCTGGAAATAGTCTCCATTCCCATCATCAAACTGGAAAATTCCATAGTTCATTAGACACTGGGTAAAATAGGAAGGTCAGGCCTCGAGACTGGGAATAAGTGACCTTAGGCTGTACACTGTTCTGGTTCCCCTAACAGACCTCAAAAGCAAGATCCGAGAGAAACACTGTTTCAGGTACCTTAACTACACCCCAGAATAAGGCGCAAGGATATTTTATAGGAACACAAAAGTATGCAGAACCCAGTGAAGTTAAATCAGAGATGGAAATCTGAGATCAGCAGGTATGCAGAGAAGCAGGAAAACACAGCCTATAATGAGGAAAATAATTAGTTAAAGCCAACCCAGAACACAGATGCTCAAATTAACAGATGACAACATTAAAAATGTTCTGTATGTTCCAAAAGCTAATAGACACATGCGAGACTTTCTTCAAATAGACCTAAATAGAATGTCTAGGGCTAAAAATAAGAATGTTTGGAGATGAAAAACACACTGAATAGCACTGAAGAAGAAGAAAAGTTTAATAAATTAAAAAGCAAGTAGATAGAAAACATCAAAAGTGAAACAGGAAAAAACTTATAAAAAGAGATAGCATCAGGGAGCTCTGGGCAACTTCCAAGTGGCCCATTATGTGTGTAGCTGGAGTCCCTGAAAAAGAAAAAGAGGGGAGAAGAGCAGAAAACACATTTGAAGAAATAATTTTTTTTCTAAGCCACAAAAATTGTAAACCCACAGATGGAAGAAACTGAATAAACTCCAAGTGTAAGAGACACAAATCTACTTTGAGGCACATCTTAATCAAATAGCTCAAACCCGGTGATGGAGAAAATCCTGGAAAATAGGGCATGTAAATAAATACAAAGAAACAAAGACAAAAACCACAGTAGTTTTCTTGTTGGAAGCAGTGCACTCAGGAGAAAACGGAGCAACAGCAGCGTAGAGAAGACTAAACAGTGTATCGAGGAGAAAAACTGTCAAGTAGAACTGAAGAAAAAGGCAAAATAAAGACTTCCCAGACCTAAAAACTTGAAAGAATTCCTCAGCCGCGACTGCACTCAGAAATCGTAAGCCCTTCACGCAGGAGAAAAAATGATATGAGATGAAAATGAGGGCCTACACCAAGGATTCTCAACCTTGTCATTACTGGTATTTTGGACCAAATCATTCTTTTAAATAATTGGGGGGGGCATTGCAGGCATCAACCCACTGGATGCCAACAGCACTTCCCACCAAGTCAGGAGAACCAAAATGTCTCCTAACATTTCCGAATGTCCTGGGGTCAAAATCACCCTAATTGTGCATCACTGATATACATCATAAAGGATGAAAAACACCAGAAATAGTAATTGCGTTGATAAATATATACAACTTTTACTTACTACTTTTTACAGCTCTTTAAAAGATAATCGCTTAAACAAAAATAACAAGTATTGTGGGGTTTACAACACATTACAAGGAAAACATGTGGATGAGGGCGCGCCTGGGTGGCTCAGTTTGCTAAGCATCTGACTCTTGGTTTTGGCTCAGGTCATGATCTCATGGTTCATGAGTTCGATCCCTGAGTCAGGTTCTGCACTGACAATGTGAAGCCTCCTTGAGGTTCTCTCTCCCTCTCTCTGTGCCCATCCCAGCTCATGCTCTCTCGCTCGCTCTCAAATAAGCATTTTAAAAATCTTAAGACAAAAATAATATTTCTTAATGAACAAATATGTGGCAACGACTAAGTTAAAAGCTGGGGGGAGTGGACTGGAAGTGTACTACTGGAAGGTTCTTACACTACTCCCAAAGGGGAGCATCACCTGGAAGTAAATGGCAGTAAATGTGAACACCCTTAAGCAACAGATAAATAACCAAGGGTTATGGCTAGTTAGCTAGTGACAAAAACACACTGGAATCCTAATCAATTTCCAGAAGAAGGTACAAAGAGAGGAAAAAGGGAACAAGGCAGTACAAATAGGAAACGAAAGCTGGATGACAGACTTAAACAAATCATATCGATAATCACATTAAATGTAAATATATCACATCAGATATAAAATCACATTAAATAGTCTAAACACCCCATTGAAAAGGCAGACTGCCTGACTGGACTGAAAAAAGCAAAACCCAATGAACTACACGTTGCCTATAAGTAACTCACTGAATATAAAGACACAAATAAAAGCAAAAGGACAAAAAAAGATATTACTGTGCCGACACCAATCAAATATGAAAGTTTTGAGGCAAACAAAATTACCAGGCATAAAAAATAAAAAGTTCATTTCTCAGTGATAAATAAGGTCAGGTGATTACGAGGACATAACAATCCCAGATGTTTACGCACCTAATGGCAGTCTCACAATACGTGAAGGAAAAGCTGAAGGAATTGCAAGGAGAGAGAGATAAATCTATATAGTAACAGCCCCAAATTTCAATATTCCCATCACAACATTGGATAAAACAGGTAGACAGAAAATCAGTAAGGATATAAGACACTTGAGGGGCACCTGGGGTTAAGCATCCGACTTTGGCTCAGGTCATGATCCCGCCATCCATGAGTTCAAGCCCCACCTCAGGCTCTGTGCTGACAGCTCAGAGCCTGGAGCCTGCTTTGGATTCTGTGTTATCTCTCTCTCTGCCCCTCTCCTGCTCACACTCTGTCTCTCTCTCAAAAAAAAAAAAAAAAAAAAAACAAAAAAAACACTTGAACAACAATCAACTTGACCTCAATGACGTCTGTGGTACACGAAATAGTAGCCCTCCCAAAGATGTCCACATCCTACTCCTTCAAACCTATGAAATTATGACCTAATAGAAGAGAGACTGCGGACACGATCCTGTTGAAGATTTTCAGATGGGGAAGTTCCCAGATTGCATGAGTGGGCCCCCAGTAATCAAAAGTCCTCCTCATAACAGGGAGGCAAGAAGGTCACAGGCTGAGTGGGAGATGTGAAGATGGAAACAAGTCAGAGTCGTGGAGAGATCTGCAGAGGGAGGAAGGGGACACAAGCCAAAGAATGCAGGCAGTCTCCAGAAGCTGCAAGAAGTAAACAGACTCTGCCCGAGAGCCTTCCAAGGACTGCAGCCCTGCCTGCTGACCTCCGTAACTAAGACAGTCAGGATGTTGTTTTAAGCCAATAAGCTGGTAAAAGGAAACAAATACATTCTTAGAATCCTCTACCCAACAGCTTGAAAAAATACACATTCTTCTCAAGTGCTCACTGCTCATTTACCAACATAGACCATAATGAGGACAAAAGAAGTCTCAGATTCAGAAAGATTCAGTCATACAAAGAATGTTCTCTGGTTGGGTATTTCACGGTCTTTGATTGTGGTGATGGTTTCGTGAGCGCACATGTATGTCAGAACTTACCAAGGCATGTGCTTTAAATATACAAAGTTTATCATCACATCACACCTCAGTAAAACATACAGACACACCAGAGTCTTTGAGTCTGAGCTCAAAGCAGGAAGAATGGGGGTCATTTCTTTGATGATTACATTGTGGGACAGGAAGTAGGGGGAAGTCTATAAGAAAAGGAACCTGATGAAAGGAGGGCTTGAGGTTAATTATACGTGGTGGAATAATGGTTACCTTTTTTTTTCTAAGTTCTCAGTTACTGGTTTTTCCTAAAACATTACCCTGTCCACTTCCTCTTCAGAAACCATTAATGGTTCACAAACGGCCTATAGAATAAAGCCTTCAACATCTCGTCTAGACATTAGAGACCTGTCGTATTTGACTTATTCAACCATTTGTGTACCGTCTGCTCAAGTAAACCAACTCCCACAATTTTTCTGAATCCTATGTAACACCTGTTAATTCTTACTTGTGAACCTTTGCTCAAAATCTTCTCCATGCCTAGGGGTGCCTGGATGGCTCAGCTGGTTAAGCATTCAACTCTTGACTTCCACTTGGATAACGACCTCACGGTTCATGAGTTCAAGCACAGAGCCTGCTTGGGATTATCTGTCTCTCTGCGCCCCTCTTTATCTTACTCTCTCTTTCTCTCAAAATAAACAAACATTTTAAAAAAAATATCCAAATGTCACCCATCCTTTTAGAAGTAGCACAAATCCCATATCCCCTGTGAGACTCTCCTGAGCCCTCCAGACGACACACTTTCTGCATTGTTTATTTTCATGGTACTCACTTAACCTGTTCTGTCTATTCAAGTTAAAGATCAAGTCAAAACTTGAGCTTCTTTTGCCCTCTCACGGCTGGAACACGACAAGATACGAAGTAAGAGGTTAAGTGGCAAATGTGTCGGTCGAGCTGGAGAAGTAGAGGTCCACAGAAGGCCACGGGGCAGGTGGGAGCCCAGAATGAATTCCCAACATTGCGTTTTAAATGAACATACCCCACAGCGAAAAATCTACAACCCACTCGAAGGACTAACATGGCATTTCAGGCAATTCCAACTTACGTGAAAACTGGCTGACGGGAGGAAAGGATGGCCCCCAGGAAGAAGGCGGGACTCCGAACAGGGCAGCTCTGGGGAAAAAGAAGCCACAATGAATCCCATCCGAATTAGCTGGTCCCTGAAATCTTAAATCCAGATTATCTTTCTGTGTGAAAATAGTAAGGACTATTATGCCATTTCCTCTACTTCTCAGAATCCAAAAAAAAGAAACCAGGTAACTGCTGACTAGGCCCTGGTGCCCTCATCGGTAGACTCAGGAGGTAAAGCGTTACTTCCACAGTTCCGTCCCTAGACTGTATCATTCAGCTCAATCCAGTTCCTTGTTGAGTGAGGCAAAGTGTTTCTGCTGCCTTCTCTGCTACATATATCATCTGAATAAAAAATGATTATTTCCAGGGGCACCTGGGTGGCTCAGTCAGTTGAGTGTCTGACTCTTGTTTTCGGCCAGGTCACGATCTGGTGGTTCAGGAGTTTGAGGCCTGCATGGGGCTCTGCCCTGACAGTGCAGAGCCTGCTTGGGATTCTTTTTCTCCCTCTCTCTCTGTCCCTCTCTTGCTTGCTCTCTCTCTCAGAAATATATAAACATTTTTTTAAAAATTAAAAAAAGTATGATTTCTTCCCAAAAGTCTTCACAGGCCCTTTAAAACTCTACTATTGGGGTGCCTGGGTGGCTTAGTCGGTTAAGCGTCCAACTTTCGCTTAGGTCATGATCTCGCAGTTCGTGGGTTCGAGCCTTGCATCGGGCTCTGTGCTGACTGCCAGCTCAGAGCCTGGAGCCTATTTCGGAGTCTGTATTTCCCTCTCTCTCAGACCCTCCCCTGCTCACGCTGTCTCTCTCTCTCTCTCCTAGAAATAAAAAAAAAAAACAAAAGCCAAAAAAAAAAACCTCTGCTATTAATGAAAATTAAATATCACGATGGCATCTATTAGTCTATCTACCCATCAAACTGTCTAAAAATTAAATAGACACGGTCAGAACTAACCGCTGGCAAGAATACAGAGCACCTGGAAGTTTTGTGCAGTTGCTTGTAAATGTATCGATCACAGAGAAAAACTGATTGGCAGTTATATACGGAAATTAAACATGTCTGTTCTATAATTGAGCAGTTCTACTCATGCGCATACAAGCATGGAAATGAGGGCTTATGACTACCCAAACACTCGTACAGGAGTGTTCATAGCAGGTTTACTGATCATCGCCAAACTGGAAACAACCCAAATGTCTTTCAACAGATGAATGGATAAATAAACCATGATATTTTCATACAATAGAAGATTATTCAATAATATAAAAGAACAAGGTATTGATATACCAAATAAGATGGATGTAATTCATACATACACAGATACACATGTGGGTGTAACTCCTAACGCTGAGCAAAACAAGCAAACATGAAAGGAGACATACTACATAATTCCATTTAAATAGAAAAACAGACCAAGCTGGTCTATGGTAACAGAAGTTAGAACAGTGGTTACTTCTGGAAGGAGCAAAAGAGAAACTTCTGTGAGGCATCAGAAACATCCTGTATTGTAATGCGGTGGTGACTGCGCTGGTATAAACTACCGAAAAATAAATCAAGCGATATACTCTACATTCATGCACTTAATGTATGTAACTGATATGTGAGCATACAAAACGAACTTTGCTCTTGGGGAGGTCTATTCAGAGTAATGGTTAAGAGGGAAGCCCAACTCTCAGAAAGCAGAAGCAATAAAAGAAATGATTTATTATTCTAGACTTAAATTTGATTAGTAAGGGAAAACTGATCTGTAATAGAACTTTTGAGAAAAAAATGTAGATGTGATTTTAAAGTTTTTATTTAAACCTTTTTAATGTTTATTTATTTATCTGAGACAGAGAGCACGTGCACATGCAGGAGGCGGAGAGGGAGACAGAGTCCTGAGTGGGCTCCAGGGTCAGCTGTGAGCACAGAGCCTGACGCGGGGCTTGAACCCATGAACCCTGAGATGGAACCTGAGCTGAAGCTGGATGCTTAACTGACTGAGCCACCCAGGGCCCCCAAGAGTTTTTAACAGAAGGAAATGTCCACGTGCAGCTATGTACCCAAGACTTTAGGAAAACAGAAACAAGAAACACTGCAGGTAAGATACTTTTGATTTCAAGTAACAGAAACCCACAGAACCAAGGACAGTGACACCTGCGGAAACCAAGTGTGTGCCTGGCCCCAGGAAATGCTCAGGAAATGCTATGGGCTTAGGACCATAAAGGACATGAAAAATAATCCTAACTAAACAACTGTGAAAAATCCCAAAAAGAAGAAAAAGCAAATATTTATAATAAAATTATTTTGGCAATAATTCTGAGGAATGTAGATAAGAACACTTATAAAAGATATGATAGGCAGAGAATTGAGAAGAAGGATGATGTCATCAACATGGCAGAGTAAGAGTTTTCTAGCATCTTCCCTCAAAGAACATGGATTCAGACAATCACTCATGGATGGCTCAGAGCGTCTTTGCAGAAGTCCAGGAGTCCAACAGAGAAGCTTCAGCACATCCTGGACTGGACGCCCTGAAGATGCAAGAGGCAGTTTCACTTTATCTGTGTCATACTCCCACCCCCAAGGTGGTAAAGCTCAGGGCCGAGAGAGTCCATCTAGGCCCTTTATGTCTCCTACAGGGAAACCGAGACTGTGTGAGCATTCGGCTTCCCGCCAGTGAGAACCACTTCCTTCTAGCCAGCCAGATACCAAGTGACTGGGGGGCAGGGAGCAGATGGGAGAACAGTAGTGGGTGCTCTCAGAGGGAAACAAAGGACCACAGATCATACAAGCCACTTCATGGACCCTCAGGAAGCCAACCCACTGGGGATGCTTCACCTGCACATCCCCCCATCTAGCCCATGGGCACCCCCAGTGCCCTACATGCCTCCCCCCACACCTCTGACCCTGTGGCTGCCTCCCCGTGGACACTCCTGATGGAGGCGAGAGTGAGACTTTGTAGACAGCTGGTGAGCACACACAGAAAGGCTGGCTTGACCCTGCAGGCCTGGAAGAAAGCACTAAGCCCTGAGCATTCAGCACCACCAAGGAGAGCAAACAGGAGTCTGTCAGCACCCAGCCTGGCTTTGCAGGACTGAAAGAAGGCACAGAATTTTAAGAATTCCCCACCAAGAGGGAATAAGAAGTATGGGGGCAGACATAGCCACAGAAGGTCAGAGAAAGCCTCAGAATCCCTAACAGGGCTGACAGAAGGTATTTTTCCCTTAAAACCAGTAAGTAAAGACAGGAGAAAGTGAATACCTCGTCAAATACAGATGTAACACCAGATTTCAAGAAACACGAAAGATCAAGAAAACAGGACAACACTGAAGGAACACAATTTTCCTGTAACTAACCCCAAACAAATGGAGATTTGTGACTTACATGACAAAAAAAAATCCAAATAATTGTTTTAAAGATGCTCAGTGAGCTAGAAGAAAACACAGAAAAATATTTAAGTTACATTTGGAAAATAATACATAAAATTAGAAGTTTAACAAATAGAAATCATTAGCAAAAAGCAAAGCAAAACAAAACAAATTTTAGAGCCAAAAGAACATAATGAATGATATGGGAAATGCAATGGAAGACACCTACTGCAGACTGGACCACACAGAGGAAAGAACCTGTGAGGTAGAAGACAGGTCATTTGAAATTATCCCATTCAGGGGTACCTGGGAGGCTTCATCAGTTAAGCTTCCCACTTTGGCTCAGGTCATAATCTCGTGCTCTGTAAAGTTTGAGCCCCACATTGGGCTCTGTGCTGACCAGAGCCTGGAGCCTGCTTCAGATTCTGTGTCTCCCTCTCTCTCTGCTCCTCCGCCTCTCCCATCTGTCTCTCTCTCTCTCTCTCAAAAATAAGTAAACATTGAATTTAACCATTTAGAGGAGGGCATAGGAAAAGAAAGAATGCCTATGAGAAACAATCTACACATTACTGGAGTTCAAGAAGAATAAAGGCAAAAAGGAACAGAAAACTTATCTAAAGAAATAATAGCTGGGACGCCTGCGTGGCTCAGTTGGTTAAGTGTCCAACTTTGGCTCAGGTCATGATCTTGCTGCTTGTGGGTTCGAACCCTACGTTGGGCTCTGTGCTGACAGCTCAGAGCCTGGAGCCTGCTTCCAATTCTGTCTCTGCCCCTCCTATGCTTGCACTGTCTCTGTCTCTCAAAAATAATAAATAAATGTTAAAAAATCATCAAATAAATAAATAGTAAAGAAATAACAGCTAAGAATTTCCCATATCTTGGGAGAGATTAGGACCTCCAAGTTCATGAAGCTCACAGTTCGCCAAATAATTTCAACTGAAAAACATCTTCTCTAAAACACATAATGATAAAATTGTCTACAACCAAAGACAAAGAGAAAACTATAAAAGTAGGAAGGGGGGGAAATTGTTCACATTTAAGGAAATCCCAGGTAAGGCTATTGGCAGATTTCTCAGCAAAAAAGTGCAGCCAGCACAGAGTGGGATAATATATTCAATGTGCTGAAAGAAAAAAACTGCAAACCAAGAATACTTTACCCAGCAAAGTTGTGCTTCAGAAATGAAGGAGAGATAAAGACTTTTAAATACAACAAAAGTTGAAGGAGTTCATCACCTCTAGAGTTGTTTTACAGGAAATGCTGAAAGGCATCATTTAAGTTGTAGTGAAAGGATACTAATAACATGAAACATGAAATTACAAAACACACTGGTAAAGTTAAATGTATAGGCAAATTCAGAACACTCTAATACTGTAATATGGCTGTGTTCAACATTTAATTCTTGTCTAAAGGTAGAAGGACAAGAATGTTAACTGTAGCTAAAATCATTTACTAATAGACACCATAAAAAAAATGTAAACTGTGACATCAAAGACATGAAACAGGAAGGGCAGTAAAAAGGTCAAGTTTTTGTATGGAATCAAAGTTTAGTTGGTTATCAGCTAGAAACAGACTGTTTTATCTGTAAGATGTTTTCTGTGAGCCCCAGGATAACCATAAAGCAAAACTTACAGTAAATACATGAAAGTTAAAGAAAAGGAAACCAAAGCGTACCACTATAGAAAATGATCAATTCACAA